TCCACCTGGCTCTAAATCTAATATGCTACACTGCCTCCTACCTAAGGCTGAACATTCTTCACTGGGCTGCTGCAAGGCACCTCCCATGGGCTAAAGCTTCTAGCTAAGTGCTTAACACATGGCTAATGCCCACACAAATGTTAAGTCTCCACCTCCTCACACTGAAACACTAATCTCCTATACTAGTGGGGCTGGATAACTCAGTTTCTAAGGAGCCAAGTAACCCACAGAGGAGTTAGGAAGATCCAAGTCTGAGTCCCTCAGTCAGTCATTGGGCCCCTCAGATATGCAGAGGAAGGGGTTACAAGCACATGTATTTCACTTCCCCTGCGATGGTAGGCATGAGGGCAGGTACCCCTCAAGGCCAGGGAGTGCAGCTGGGCACAAGTCTCCTCCACAGATCACACTTGTGGGCTTGCAGTTGTTTTCTCACTTAAATTTCAGGGAAGAGTGGCATGTCCACACCTCCTGCCAGTGGAAGCTGGGAGGATGCTGGCTCTCATCTGCCTGCATCATTGCTGTATGCCCAGAACACGGGCAGCAGAGTAACCGCTTAACACACGTGTAGAAAGCAAAATGCTATCCGGTAGAGCTTCCCACGCAAGAAAGCCTCCGGCTGGAGGCAGGGCTCAAGTGGTAGCAAGCTGTGGTCTAGAGTTCAAATCCTAGTACAAACAACAAAAATAATTTTATAAAGGCCTCCGTGCCTGCCTAAGCGTGAGCATCCACAGCCAAGCAGGCAGAGGTTTCAACACTCCGGCCCCTGGCTCTGCCACTGAGTCCTTGTGCTGTCCAGTCTTCAGTCCTTTGCCCTTTCCCAGGGTATATAAAGGTATAAGTCTTCTACTACTAGTCAGAAAAGACCTGCTTTCAAAGGCATACATTATCAGCTCCTTAATCTCACACTATTGCTCTTTGGCTACTTTTCTACAAGTATTCTACCCAAGGAGTCCAGCTGGATTTAAAGAACAGGGCAGTATATACAAGTAGAGCCTGAGTTGAACCGTGTATTTTATCTATTCAAGGACCCCACCAAGACACATTGGTGCCAATTCCACTGTTTAACCTGGTAACACTATAAGGGGCCTCTCCTGTCAGCTCTAGTCAGACAAAGCCATCTAAGAGCCAGAGACACCCCCTTAGGGGCTTTCTCCTCCCTTCACTGCTACAAATTCCAACATCAAGCACCAGAATTGTAACTCTTAGAATAGTAATTCCTAAATTAGAAGCTAGTGTTACATTAGGAAAAGTGCTTTGAAATTTCGAAGCACTTAGGGACAGTAGTAAGACTATTACCTAAGAGAATGAAAATAAATTCCATTTGTCTAAGCATTCTTAACCAGGTAGGTGAAACTGACTCCAACAAAAAGCATGATCTTCATGCCTGTAATCCTAGCTACTCAGAAGGCTAAGATCCGAGGATCACAGTTCAAAGCCAGCCTAGGCAGGAAAGTCTGTGAAACTCTTATGTCCATTAAACACCAGAAGACTGGAAGTGGCGCTGTGGCTCAAGTGGTAGAGCATTTGCCCTGGGCTGAAGAACAGCACACAGGCCCCAAGTTCAAGACCCACTACTGACCAAAAAAAAAAAAGCATGATCTTCACTCCAAAGTCAAGTGCATTTTAGAATCTCAAACACTATTTCTCTCAATGGAAAAGTGAGACCTAGCTATTTTCTCTACCATCAGACACAATTCATTCCCTATGGTGCAGCCCCACACTCCCCCTTCTGTCCTGTTTCAACTATCTACACTGGTTATCAGATAATTCAAGCAGTAAATAAATTTGAAGTAAGTAGGGGCCAGTGGTCCAGCCACTGGGGGCTCACACCTGTAAACCTAGCTACTCAGGAGGCTGAGACCTGAGGATCATGCAGTTTGAAGTGGTGGGGAGGGGAGGGGACGACTCTGAGGCTCTTGAGGCTCTTATCTCCAATTAGCAACCAAGAAGCCTTGAACAAAGGAAAAAACTAAGGGTCAGAACCCAGACTGTGAGTTCAAACCCCAATACCAGTACAAAAAAACTGGCCTTGAACTTGTAATCCCCCTGCTTTTTCAATGATTAGGAGTATGGCACTATACCCAACTCTTTTAGCCACTTGAGGTCCAGGTGCTGCTTGAGTCCCCAGAAATACAGCCTTAGAAAACAGCTCAAGGGCTGGGAAGGTGGCTCAGTGGTAGAGCTTGCCTTGCATGCATGAGGCCCTGGGTTTGATTCCTCAGCACCATATAAGCAAAAAGAAAAAAACCTAAAGTGGGTTGTGGCTCAAGTGGTAGAGTGCTAGCCTTGAGCTGAAGAGCTGAGGGACAGCGCCTAGGCCCAGAGTTCAGGCCCCACAACCGGACCCCCCCAAAAAAAAGAAAGAAAACAGTTCAAAATCTGTACTGTCCAAGAGTTCAAGTTGTGTCCCACATTAAGCTGCTGTTCTCTCCATACTACTTCTCACTATTAAACAAGATTTCCTACTCAAAGCATCTAGCACACAACCCATGGACCACAAACACTGCACCTTCCTCACTGTTAAAGAGTCCTATTATTATGTTTTTTAAAAAGTATCATTAGATTCTCGAACACACCAGCATCTTAGTAACAGGGACCAATGCAGTCTAGAGCCTGCCAGATGTGTTCTTACTGACCTGCAATGGTTCCACCCTTCCCCTCTGCTTCCCTCTCCCCTCCCCCCATCTATGGAGTAACACCTTGAAGACACCATAACACACACACACACACACACCACCATCTTATCCACCTATCAAATGCCCAGCAAACACCTTCAAGACTTTGTATTAAGTGAGCTCATCCAGATGAAATAGAGTGTCTAGCAGATAGCATCTTCTCTACACCTTCCAGTCTTTTCAGAACTGCCCAAGTGAGAGCTACACAGAGGACTCTAGAAGGCCTGAGGTGTCATGTGCTCTTCCTGGGTCATTCCTGTCACTTTCCATCACATGTGGAGGGAGAACTGTCCTTCCATACCTAAAGTGCTGCCCTGGGCAACCCCAACCGGCTGCTCTACTCATCCTCCCCTGCTTTTTGCCCTGAGAGCACACTTACAAAACTTCAGCCTGGGGGCTGGGAAGGTGGCTCAGTGGTAGAGCGCTTGCCTTGCATGCTTGAGGCCCTGGGTTCGATTCCCCAGCACCACATAAGCAAAAAGAAAAAAAAGCCAGAAGTGGCCCTGTGGCTCAAGTGGTAGAGTGCTAGCCTTGAGCTGAAGAGCTGAGGGACAGCGCCCAGGTCCAGAGTTCAGGCCCCACTACCGAACCCAAAAAAAAAAAAAAAAAAAAACTTCAGCCTGCTTTTAAAAGCCTCACCCAAAACTGTCATGGAGAAGTGGTTCTCTGCTCAGGCTGGGGCCTACGCCTACCCCACCACCTCTGAAACTAGTTTTTGATCGGCATTAAATATTAAACATTTGTGATCAATCCAGAAAAGTATATTAGCCCGTCTAAACTAGTCACTCTTGTTCAGCATCCCTTGATTAAACAAGGAGCTGGGCTCCTCAAAACCATTTAGTTCAAAGTTCACAAGCAAACATCTGGAGGCCCTGCAGGGAGGTGCCTGCACAAGGCCTTGATGCAGCAGGTGAATGGCCTAGGCTCACACAGTGCGGTGGCCAAAGCTTTTTTGACCAGGTGGGGCTCCTGCTCTCCCACCTAGGTGGCAGACCTTTGTAAAAGGTCCCAAAGCGGATGTTGTGGACAGGCTTGGATGGGGGTGGGGGGCAGGAGAAACCATCTCAGGCTCGACTAGTGCCTTCCTTCATTACCAAAACAAACACCACGGGTGGAGCTAGCTCTCTGCCTTCCAGTTAGCTCACCTGATCGGAACCACCTCCATAGTCGGCAGTTCCAACCTTTACCAGCTGACAGTTCAGGGGGAAAGGGAGGCTGCGCCTCCTTGGGTGCATCGTGTCCAGGCCATATATTGGGGCTCTGAGCCTGGTGGCACCCCCCCTCCCCAAGGTTGCGGCCTCACAAGAGCAATTGTGCGTTCATCCCGGTGACCCTCACTGCTCAGCTCGCAGGGCAGCTCGGAGGCGGCAGCCCAGGGAAGGGCCCTGTGCTGTTCCGGGCACGCGGATGCCCGCCCTCCCCTCCCTCCCTCTCTCCTGCTCGCTCCCGGGCGGCCTCCCCAGAAAGGGCAACTCTGGAGCCTGAGAAGGCACAGCGCCCCGACCACCCCCACCGCAGCGAGAGCCGCTCCCCTACTTCCCGGAGGACGCGCCCTAGGTACAGGGGAGGGGACACGAGTCAGGGTCAGGAGTGGCAACGGGATCTTGATGCAGGGGAGGGCAGGGCGGGGAGGGCAGGGCGGGCTGACGCAGACTAAGCTAAAAGTGTGACCAGTCCAGGGCCCCCGATCGTGGGGGGCCGAGGGCGGGAGGTGTAGGCGGGGGAGGGGGGGCGGGGGAGGAGAGGTTCAGACTTAGGACCACCGGAGGAAGGGAAGGCTGGGGGCAGAGGGGAACCGAACAAATCCAAACTGAGGCCGCATTGGAGGAGTTGTCCGAGGTCCAGGCGAGGCCGCAGAGAGGGGAAGGGAGTTTGGAGAAATGGGGGCCTAGCCTGGGCCCTGATGGAAACGGCGGCCTAGCTGGGGTCGTGGAGACGAGGAAGGAGACCTAGCTGGGCCGGAAGCCCGAAGGCGGGGAGGGGCGGGGGGACTCCGCCCGGGTGGCGGTAGAGGGTGGCGGGGCCCGGCCCACGGGGCAGAGAGGGTCCAGGCTGGGCTCTGGGGGAGACTGGCCTGGACGCGGAAGGGGAGAAGGGGCTCCGGCCGGAGGCAGGGGCGGAGGCTGGAGCGAGGCAGGGTCAGCGCCCGTCCAGGCAGCCCGCGACCCCCTCCGGAACCCCAGGGGTGGCGTCCATCTAGGGTCTGGGACCCCGCCCCTCCCCCACCCTCCGGCGTTCGCCCCCTCCTCCCCGGGCCGGGGGTCGGCGGGGGAGGGGAACGCGAGCTCCGGCAGGGCCGCGGGGCCAGGGCCGCGGGGCCCTTACCATGGTGGCGGCGGCGGCGGCGGTCCCGGTCCCGGCGTCGGTGGCTCTCCCCCCCGCAGCAGGGCCCAGCGCTTCCACTTCCCCGGGTGCCCAGGAGTGAACATCCGGGTCAGCGCCCCCCTCCCCCCGCGCCGGGCCGCCGCCACCTTCCTTCTCCGCCCCGGCCGGGCCCGGCCCGCCCCCCACGCCGCCAGCTCCCGGCCAATGAGCGCGCGGGGCTGCGGCGATCGCCAAGTATGGAGCGCCGCGCGGGGGGCGGAGCTTCGTGTGGGGAAGCGGGGTGGAGCCTGCTCTGGGGGGCGGCCCCAGGGTTGGGGGCGGAGCCTGCGCGGGCGGGGCGGCGCTGGCTGGCGCTGCTAGAGGCCGGAGTGGGGAGGGGAAGGGGTGGGCAGGGGGCGCGGAGTTTTGGAGTCCTCCGTCAGCTCCGACGTCCGGCGTGCGACCCCGTGGCTGCCGATCGCGGGGGACCACGGGCGAGGATGCGGAAGGCACTGGGGCTGGGAGGGGACTCGTCCCTCCGCGCCCCACCCCGGAGCACACGCCTGCAGCAGCGGACCGGAACTGGTGCGGACGGCGGCCTGGCGCGGCCCGGCCCGGCCCGGCCCAGCCCAGCCCCGCGGGGACCCTGGCCCGGAGTCTCCGCGGGACCTGGAGCTCTCCAGGGCCTCACACCCCGGCCTCGGGAATTCACGATTCCGGAGCCGGCAGCGCCGTAGGTGGAGAACCTGCTGTTTACCAGGCCTTGTTTTAGGAACCAAATGGTGAAGGGCTGAGACTTGGAGATCTCGGCCTTCCTGGCTACCTGTGACAGGCTATTGTGAGATGACCCAGGTTTAAAAAAGAGAGAGATCACTAGGTTCAATAAATGCCATGCCTTTTGCGTACTTCATTCTCCCAATGGGGTTTCTTTTCTCTCTCCCCACAGTGACTCAAAAATTTCCCCCTTCTCTATAATCCACACATAGGTGCTGAGCTTTCTCCAGAACCTGGATTGCAAGGCCTGTTGGTAATACCTATCTTCCTGGGCTGGCGCACCCTCTGCTTAGACTTTTTAAACAGGTCACCTGGGGGGTGGGGGGGAACCTGCATAAAAAAGAATTAGACCTCTGAGCTCTAGGTAAAGTGGAAGCTTGCACCTACAGCCACTGACAAAGCCTGCAGGCAATACTCACTGGAACGGTAGAGACCAGTTTTACAGAAGTTCAGAAAGGGAGGGGCACTTAGGAAGTTGTTACTCAGTAAATATTTATTGTGCAGCTATGGGACCAAGCTCTGTATCAGAACTTGGTACAGCCTAAGCAAAACAACCCGTACTGATGTGGAGCGTTGCATGCTAGGCAGGTACTGTTTGTAGGTTGAAGGCTGTTCAGGAGACCATCTGCTCTGAAGTAAAGATTGTAAAGATTAGAAACGGAGAGGGCTGGGCTGGGAAGGTAGCTCAGTGGTACAGTGCTTGCCTTGCATGCATGAGGCCCTGGGTTCAATTCCTCAGCACCACTTAAGCAGAAAAAAAAAGCCGGAAGTGGTGCTGTGGCTCAAGTGGTAGAGCGCTAGCTTTGAGCTGAAGAGCTGAGGGACAGCGCCCAGGCCCAGAGTTCAGGTCCCATGCCCAGACCCAGAAAAAAAAGAAAGAAATTGAGAGGGCTGAGCCGGTAGTCAGGCTAGCAAAGTGGGGCCATGTTTTGTAGTAAGGTCAAGGAAGTAATATTTGATCAGGCAACTGAAGGGAAGGTGGATAGCCCAGGCACCCACACTGAGAACAGCAATGGCAGAAGGAAAGAAGCCCCTGGTGTCAGACCTTAGTGGTGTGCACAGACGTCCAGAGAGGCCAATATGGCCAGTCTAGGTTGAATAAACAGAGAGGCAAGAACTGACTTGCAATGCATTTACTGTGACTCCGGCTCCAAAAGGATGGCTGGGTTGCTGTGTTCCAAGTGGACTGTAGGGGGCATAGGGCCTTAGAGGCCTTAGAATAGAAAGCAGCCAGCTTACCGGGGCTCAGGCCTGTAATTCTAACTACTCAGGGGACTGAGATCTGAGGATCACTGTTGCTGCCCAGGCAGCAAAAGTCTGAAATTCTTATCTCAGTTCAGCTGTGGCTCAAGTGATAGAGCCCCAACCTTGCACAACCAAAAAAACTATCATCAGCAGTACTGGAATTTGAACTCGGGCCTTGCACTGACCAGGCAAAGGGCTATACCACTTGAGCCATGCTTCCAGGTCCTTTTTTGCTTTGATAATGTTCAAAGTAAAATCTCACTTTTATGTCTAGGCCAGCCCAACTTGTGATCGTCCTACTTGTGACTCCCTTGTTTCTGGAGTAACACTAACTTACCATTTCACCAAGCCACAGAGTAAGATGGAAGTCTCAAGAACATTTATGCCCAGGCTGACCCCAAACCTCTCCCTTCCAAGTAACTATTGTTACAGGCTTGAGTCATCACACCCAACAGAGAACTACTACTTTTTTTTAATGCAATTATTTAATGGTTACCATTTGGTTCATTCATCTAGAGAAAATTGCATTCCTTCTAGTTCATTATATTGAACCAACATTCAAATTACTGGGGGGAAAAACATGGATAAAGTGTTTCATCTTCCTCCTCCCCGCCCCCCCAGTCCTGAGGCTTGAACTCAGGGCCTAAGCACTATCCCTGAGCTTCTTTTTACTCAAGGCTAAGCACTCTACCACTTGAGCCACAGCTCCACTTCCACATTTCTGGTGGTAATTGGTGATGAGTCCCAGAGAGTTTCCTGCCCCACCTGGCTTTGAACCATGGTCCTCAGATCTCAGCTTCTGAGGAGCTAGGATTACAGATGTGAACCACCAGTGCATGGCCCAAGGTGCTTCTTATATATGGATTCTGTTAAGTACTTTATAAATATCAGTTTATGAAATCCTTATCTCAGAGCCCCAAGGTCATGTAGCAAAAAGATGACCATGAATTAGGCCAGGGTAATAATATGTATGGGATGGAGGCAAGAAGCAATTTTATTCCCCAACATATTTGTTTTTCTGATACATTGGTGGTAGCATGAGAAGTAGGAAAAGGTCCAGAACTAGAGTGAGGGTTTTAGCACTTTTTTTTTGTACTGGTACTGGGACTTGAATTCAGGTCCTAAGTACTGTCCTTTAGGTCTCCCCCACCCCCATTTAAGGCTAGCACTCTACACTTGAGCCTCACCTCAACTTCTGGCTTTTTGGTGGTTTGGAGATAAAACACTCTCAGATTTGTCTGCCTAGGCTGGCTTTGAACCGTGATCCTCAGATCCCAGCCTTCTGAGTAGCTAGGATTACAGGTGTAAACCATTGGCTCCCAGTTAGTTTTAGTTTGATCAATCAAACCAGAGAGAAGTCCTTAGGGAAAGTGAGAGGATGAGTCCTTCGAGGGTTTGAGATCATTTTTGGAAACTTAAATTGAGGTGTTAGCCAGGTGCTGGTGGCTCATGGCTATAATCCTAGCTACTCACAGAAAGCTGAGATCTGAGGATTGTGGTTCAAAGCCAGGCCCGGCAGGAAAGTCTGTGAGACTCTTTTCTCCAATTAACCACCAGAAAACTGAAAGTGGCACTGTGGCTCAAGTGGGAGAGTGCTGGTCTTGAGCTAAAGAGCTCAGGGACAGTGCCCAGGCCTCGAGTTCAAGCCCTACAACTGAAAAATAAATAAATAAATAAATAAATAAATAAATAAATAAATAAATGGGGATGTTAAGTAATAGAATGTGGAAGTCTGGAGTTGGGGAAAGAAGGTGGAGCTAGAGATAAACTAGGGAGAACCATCAGCTAAAAATGGCTCACTTAGAGGTGCAAGCTGAGAAAAGAGGCTGAAAGATCAGAACCAGCAAGGAGAGGGGATGGCACTTAGGGAAAGAGAATCAAGAGAAAAGCGGTGCCCCCTCCCCAAAACCAAGAGATAAATTTTCTGAAATAAATGACTTGAAGAAAATGCGATTGAAAGGAACCCAGGTATATTAGGGCAAACATGTAGGGCAGCTGAGGCAGAAGGATCACAAGTTCAAAGCCAGTCTGGGTTATATAGTATAGTATGACCCCATTTAAAACACACACACACACAAAGCAGAACAGACAGAACAGGCTGGGCACTGGTGGCTCAGGCCTGTAATCCTAGCTACTCAGGGGGCTGAAATATGAGGATCATGGTTCAGAGCCAGCCAAGACAAGAAAGTCTATGTGACTCTTATCTCCAATTAACCACCAGAGAACTGAAAGCAACTCTATGGTTCAAAGTGGTAGAGTGCTAGCCTTGGCAAAAAGAGCTCAGGGACAGCACCTAGGCTCTGAGTTCAAGCTCCAGAATGGACCAAAAAAGAAAAATACATTGAGGGGCTGGGAAGGTGGCTCAGTGGTAGAGTGCTTGCCTTGCATGGCTGAGGCCCTGGGTTTGATTCCTCAGCACCACATAAGCAAAAAGAAAAAAGCTGGAAGTGGCACTGTGGCTTAAGTGGTAGAGCCCTAGCCTTGAGCTGAAGAGCTGAGGGACAGCGCCCAGGCCCAGAGTTCAGGCCCCACGACCGGACCCCAAAAAACAAAAACAAAAAATACATTGAAAGAAAGTCATATTCAAAGTATATTATTTGTAATTTCTCATTGCAACACTATGGAACATACTATTATTATTCCCATTTTGTATATGAGGAAAACTAAACCAGAAGAGGAGTTAAATAACTGGCCCAAAAACACACAGCAAGGCATTCTGGGAGCAAAGCCCACACTCAAAACCCCAAATCTGATCATGTTACTTCCTTGCCCATAAACCATTACAAGTTAGAAGGTATTGGGAACAACCAAAAGGCCTCATCTCTACTTTTTCACCTCTGCTACTCCCTCTCTCCTAACTAGACTCCTCAACTTGCTTCTAGCCCTATTTCCTCTAAGTTTCAAACCATGAAAAGGAAAAGGGGGAGGGGATCACCCTAGTGTCCTGCATCAGTTTCTGACAATGTCTTGTGTTTCATAGTTCACATTCCCAAGTCTGAAACTAATTGGCCCAACTCATCTTTTATTGATGACAATCCATCAGCCAGGTCACAAATCAGTTCACAGATTGGCTGTGCATAGCCAGATCCCACCCCCCAGACCCATCAATTATTACTGTGCTCTTGAGGGCTGAAGGTAGGCAGGAAGACAGGCACTCACAAGTAGTAGTTTAGTATTTTCCCCTCTCCTCTTTAACAGCCC